GAAAAATTACTATGCATCTTTCTTTTGCTATGATAGTAATGGAAAAGCGACACGTACAAGAGGAATTGGATGCAATACTAACAAATGTTATATAGCTGCTAATATTCAAGGTTGTATAAGGCGCTTCTAAAAAATGAATTGTGAGGATTTCTATGAGATTCTTGATATGAACTGTTTCTTTTTTTCTTTATTTATAATAACATGGCAGGGCTGAAAATTTTCCAAGCTTTTAGAAAAGTAGGCTTGGAAAAATATACACTTGTCCAAGCTTACAGAGCATGTGATAAGTCTTATACATGCCGTACTTCTGATCATAAATATGCTATATTTGGCTTTGTTTAGTAAAGCAACCGTAACCTAGGGAGCAATTTTATATTTAAAATATAATAAATTGTATCTTCAATTGCAATTGTGTTTCATATTCTAATTAAATTATATTAAGAAGGAAATTTGGAAGAAATATATGAAAAACACACAAAACAGGGCTGTGGTGATTGCCCTAAAGTAGCAGGGCAATGCCGGACCTGTACCGATCAAATGTGCAATTCTCAATCCTTTTTAAGTGATAAGTCTCATACATGCCGTACTTCTGATCATAAATATGCTATATGCTCACCTAGTACAGAAAATTGTTATTATGGAGAGAATGTAAAGGATATTTAATGGGAAAATATTATAATTTTTTAAGAAACAAAAGAGTATTGCTGGTTGCGGAGCATGTCCTGGAGGGGATTTTGATTGTTTTGAATGCAACACAAAAAATTGCAATACAAAAGATAAATTAAATAAACTATTCAGATGTTATGAGAGCAATGAAAAAATTACATTTAATAAAGCAAGGGGGTGTAACAAGAAAAAGTGTTATATAGCTATACAAATTAAAGGTTAATTTTTATTGCTCGGGTTTTGCACGAGTTTCGCTTGTGTCAATAGTTTTAGGATTTTGTACTTAATAACATACTTTTAGCTTAGCAGCCGTAGACATGCACGGCCTCCCAGCAACGAATAAAACTTTTCTTAACAGGCCATATATGTAGGTAAGGGTACAAATGGTCATCATTCTTACAAAACCTATCCAATAATGTTAAACGAGTCGAATCGAATGATTAAGAATTAAATCATTTTGGAGTGGGTCCGTGACTAAACGTTAACCAAATATTTTTTCTAAATAATTTTATAAATAAAGAAGGAGATTCGGATGAAATACTTCAAAAGCACATAAAACAAGGTTGTGGAGATTGCCCTGAAGTAAAAGGACAATGCAAGACCTGCATAGGAAATTTATGCAATGCTCAAAGTCTTTACAATAAATTATATTCATGTTATCTTTCTGCTGATAGAAGAAAATGGGTGAAATGCGCTCCTGGGGAAGTAAATTGTCACTATTGGAAAACTGTAAGAAAAGTATTATTATAATTAGAGGGAGTATTTTTATTTTTTAAGCGATGGAACGCATTTTTTGCTGGTTGCGGAAAATGTCAGAATGACTGGGATTACGATTGTTTTGATTGCAACACACAAAATTGCAATACAAAGCATAATTCCGACAGAGCATTCAGATGTTATGAGAGTAAAGGGAAAATTTCATCTACGAATGAAAGGGGATGCAACAAGAAAAAATGCTATATAGCTTCTGACAATAAAATTGGTCCTTTTTATATAATGTAATGATTAGCGGGTGAATTACATCTTTATTATAAATATACTGGATTAGTTTATTTATAATATTGAGACTCTATCCATTGAAAGGCTCCTTACCTACTGTCTACAGGCAGGTTTTTGCTGCTGCAGAGGAAGCCAGACATGCCGACCGCAGCTAAAATAATCATAAGTTTATGTTACGAGCCCAGCGACCGTTGACTCCACGCGAGGCGCGTGCCGCAAAACTTTGCGCGAAGCGCAAAGTTTTGCACAAGCGCCTCGCCGACGCCCCAGGTTTATTTTACTTGTTTTTTGTGTTTTAACTTTGTCTAATCTTGTACAATCACTGTGATTTTGGTGTCATTCGACTCAGCTCGCCGAGCTCTTTCGAATGAGCTATTATTTGTATAAAAAATTTTTTATTTAAAAAATCGTCCCTTTGGATCGCCAACTTTTTTGACCATTTCGAGACCTATATCTCTGTCCACAGGCATCTCCGGGAAAAATGAGTGGTACCGTTCGACTCAGCACCGTTTTCTACCCTATATATGACATTTGAACATTAATTTATTGGGTTACGTCATAACGGAAAAGTACCCTGTCGCGTTTCGCATCTTTCGATATTTCATATTTTTTAGATCAAAGGTTTCGCATTACGCATTTCGCTTTTTATTTTTTGATTTCGCCCAGCCCTGTTACACAATATACATTTTTAGCTGAACAAGGCTGTGGAGATTCACCTAATGAATTTAAGAATATTACATTTTCTGTTTGTGAAAAGTCATTGTGCAATACACAAACATTATTGGACAAAACTTTGTTTTGTTTTATTAGGAATAATAAAAATGAAAAATTCAAAAAGTCAATAAAACAATGTGATCATGCATGTTATGTCTATAGAGATGAGAATGGACATTGTATATAATAAATAAAAGTTTAAAAATTATAAAATTAATATTAAGTGTGGAAAGGCTGTGACAGCTGCCGGGGAAAAGATTCCAAAGATTGTTATGCCTGCAAAACTGATTATTGCAACGAAGAAAAACATGTTTATAAACATTGTGTGGATGGAATATATTCTTATCACGGAACCAATCTTAAGACTTGCAAAAATAGGTACAATGAGGATTGTTATGCGGAGTTTCTGGAAAACGATAAAAGTAATTTAACGAAACTTTTATAAAATTCCATTCATTTACTAGTAAAAAAGGGCTGTGGGAAGTGCCCTAAGAAAAGTTTAACTTGTGCAACATGCAACAACAAACATCGTTGTAATGAACATCTTGATTTTCGAACCTTTTGTAGGACGAAGAATGGGAATAAGAAATGCAAAGAAATTTGGTGTTACATTGCTCCCTTAGATAAAAACGAAACATGTAAAATTCAAATTTAAAAGTAAAAAATATGCCAAAAAGAATCTCACTCTGTCCAGTCTAACAAAGACATTGTTGGCTCCGGTACAAAATACCGAATCGTTAAAATATGGAATGGTTAAAATCGCGAATAGGCTAAAAAGGGGTTAAAATACTGAATCGTCAAAATATCGAATTGATAAAATGTCGACACGGCCGAAATGGGTCAAAATGTCGAATTCCTTTAAAAAAGGGTCAGATGAGTGCCATACGTTGTTTGTTGATAATTTTATCAACGTATCAACTTACTGCTGATAAGTTGGTTGATAAGTTTGGTAAGTCGTAGTCCGGCGTAATCTTTTCTGCCTGAGTTCAGTGTATTTTACCGAGCAAAACCGGACCGGATAAATCAAGAAAACCGACCGGATCCGGTCCGGCATAATCGTGCGGATCCGGAAGCAACGCGATTTCTTGATCCGGAAAAATTAGAGTGCGTGCCTAGTATTTAGTAAAAACCGGAATTTTGTACCTGTACCGTACCACGGTACGGAATACCGAAAAATACGGTTCACCTTTTAAATTTTATCGGTCAGTATTCCGCCCGTACTACCGATACGGAATACTAATAAATACCGAAAAATACCGTCGGTATTACGGTACCGTCCGGGTTCTAGTTTTTAGCACAATTTTTAAAATAATTCGACATTTTGACCTATTTTGGCCGTGTCGACATTTTAGATATTTTGACGATTCGATATTTTAACCCTTTTTTACCCGTCTCGAAATTTTAACCATTCCATATTTTAACGATTCGGTATTTTAACCCCTTTTTCGCCTATTCGCGATTTTAACCCATTTTACCCGATTCGAGATTTTAACCCTTTTTTTGCCTATTCCATATTTTAACGATTCGATATTTTGTCCGGACACGACATTGTTTTGCTGTATTTGTTATCTTACTAAAAAGTTTTTACTATTTTACAATTATACAATTTTACAATTATATCGTACGATTATCCAAATTGTTAGATAAGACTAATTTTTGGTCAAAAATTCAAATAAGTAAATATAGCTTGCTCTAGAGAGATAATGACTACAGTGGCAAACATAAATCCTAATTAGGCTTGGCACAAATATACACTAGATTTGACACCTAGCGACTTTTTTCTTTGGGGTTGGAAACTCATGCTCACCGAGATAAACAGCTACATTTTAGTATACGATTACGGCTGTGGAAAATGTGATGTCCGTTACCGCGAAAAGAAATGTGTAGATTGTGATACTGGTCCATTATGTAACACAGAGGAATTCATAAAAAACTCCACGTTCTGTTTGTGGAAGACTGAAAATATGTCGGAACCTATTGGAATGAAGAGAATTTGTAAAAACTCATGTTATGTATTGAGAAACAAAAATGGAACAGGTTTGGTTATGAAAATTGAGGAAAAAGCATTACATTAATTAATAAGACCACTAATTTTTTCCTTCGATTTCAGAAATTTTGAAAAAAATTTCCGATTTCCGACAATTTTTAATTGACTCCAGATCGTGAGATAATTTTGAAAGATAAGACGCTAGATCTTTCATGCCCTGAGGTTCGTGTAATACCCTTCATGTCAAGTACTAAGGCTATCTATATTAACGTCCTTATAAGAATTACATATGTAGTTAATTCCTTATAGTAATACAAGGATGTGGAAATTGTTCAATATCAGACAAAACAGAATGTATAACATGTAAAAAAAGACATCATTGTAACACTGAAGATAAAGTTTATAAACATTGCAGGACAGATAAAAATAAAATTTGCAAAACAAAATTTAACGATGCTTGCTATACATGGAGAACTCTGACAAATGAGGGTTTTAAAAATAAATTCTTTAAAAATTCTTTGAAAAATTTAAAGTTAAAAAAGGATGTGGAAAGTGCCCTTTCCATACATGTGAAGAATGTAAAGGGCATCTTTGCAATAATGAAACTAAACCTCCTTTCTATTGCTTTGGAGTTATGGGCAAATATAATAAATGTAACGAATCTGACTGTTATATTGCCAAAATTGAAGAGAGACATAGAGGTATATTTTTATACATATTTTTGTTATGTTCGAGATTCAATATGGAAACTTAGATTGACTAAAAGTATTGTACTAAAACTTATATTTGAAAAACACTTAAGGTTCTCATTATTGTGCGTCAAAATCGCATTCACGGGATCCTTTTTTCAAAAAAATTTTACGGTACGGGATCCCGCGGGATTAATCCAGTAAATCACGTAATTCCGATAATCACGTTCTAAAAATTAGCGCGATCACGCTGGATTTCGGGATTTTCACATAAAAAGTTCTTACGTAATAGAAATCAAGAAGATCAGAGGATTTGAGAGTATTAAGGGATTTAAAAGTATATATGGGGATATTTGTGGTGATTCTATTCAATCGTCTGATCTATCACAATTCGAATTTACAAAAATAACGAAGTGCTGCAAACATCAAAAAGTGAGCAAGCCAATCTATCGCCGCCCAACCTACCGCGCGCCCAACCTACCGCTGCCCAATCCAACGCTAGCCCAACCTACTGCGCGCCCAACCTACCGCTGCCCAATCTACCGCTGGCCCAGCCTACCGCGCGTCCAAATAACAGTACTGAAAATATAACAAATAAAAAAACAAAAACAATAAAATAGAAAATTTAATCACTATTAAAATTGTGCGAAATTCCACGAAAAAAATTTAAAACAGTGTCAAAATTATAATTATTGAAAATTCTCAAAATTTTTTCAGCAAAAATTCAAAATTTTTCGGGTTACAAGCAGAAAAGTACTGGAAAGAATAAGCCTCCACGCTTTGAAAGAATTATAAAATGTTGATGAAAGAGATAAACAAACTGAAAAAAATCTAGGGCAGGATAACTAAAAATTACCAGAAAAAGGGCCATTTATAAAAACATGCTCCATTTGATTTGACCACACAGCACTTGCCTCACTACCAAAAAAAAAGAATTCGTTCTTCCCTTCCACTATCAACGAGTAAAAAACGTTCTTGTTGACCATTTAACTAGAAATCATATTTAATATTTTAGAAAATCTCAAACTTACTTCACATTTCATGTTTGCTCAGTAAACACGATTTCAGCACGTGAATCTTTACTTGCTAATCCATTATTTTCTTTCCTTCTTTGTCGTTGCACTTGTTTTCGGCTCGAACTTGTACTAGGCATCTGTCCTAAGACTTATTGTATTATATTTTTTACTCAAAAAATACCCATAATTGCTAAAGGCAGATTTTGAACTGCAGCTGCACGAATTTGCGCATATTTTTCCATAGTTGAGGCGCCTCGCTGACGAATCAAACTCATTCCCTAGAAAAGTGATTATACGGAGAATTTAAATAATAAAATGCCTTTTGAACACTCCTGAACAACTATGTGTTTGACCATTTTCAAAAAATTAAGTTCTTCATCATCTGCTGTGCGGATTCGTCCTGGATTCGCCTAAAAATTTTCTCACCATCAGCACTCGGCTTATCCATTACATAAATATACCCACAATGAGAGAATTTTTCTTCGTTTTGTTGCGATATTTCGTTGAACATTATTGATTTTGCTACTACGTTTAATTAACTTATTTATATAAATATCATAAGTTGGGCCAGTGGTAGATTGGGCTCTCGGTAGGTTGGGCGGCGGTAGTTTGGCCGGAGGTAGATTGGAGTGTACCCCATCAAAGTAAATAAAGTACCCATTGGTAATTGTAATCTTAACGGGAAATAACAAATTAAGGAAAGAGGAGGAAAATATATAATAAAATATTCTATATTATATGTAAAATGTAAAGGGTAAATCTATCTTTAGCCGAAACCATAATATTTAGACGAGAAAATAGACCAATTCCACTATGATTGTGGAAAATGTCCATCAGGGATTCTCAACCTTTCTCTATACATCAAGACTAAAGATCTAACACTCCAAAACAAAATAAAGAAGATAAATATGAGTAATGTTCAATGCGCCCAATGTAACAATAAACCAGCTTGTAATGCAGATACATTTTTTGAAAGTCAATTGTTTTGTTGGGAAAAAGAAATTAACAAATGGTCAGCAACGAAAGGAAATAGAGTTTGTAAGAAAGGATTTTGCTATGTTGCGATTAATAACAGAAGAAATGGTAAATTAAATACTTTATGTACAATATACCAGGGGTGTGCCGCTTCAGATTTAAAAAATGAAACAAATATGAAAAGTCAAAACTCAATTCAAAAAGCGAAACATTAAGGGTGAAGCAAAAAAATGAGGCGAAAGATGATACATGAAAATCAAAAGGCAAACGCCTAGTTTATACCTACTTCTAGTTGAGACACAGAGTTTTCCTTCATACTTAACATAATGGCAGACATTTTTATTTCCTAAATTTTGCCTTAATACTCGGTGGCGCATAATGGGCAAATGCGAGAAATCACTAATATAAGAGTAATTAATGTTCATTTTTGCATTGATCCGTTAATTGATTTAAGAGTTATAGGTACGAGGTACTAGGCCAAAATTAAGAGTGGCACAAAGTACGATCAAAACACAAACTTCTAGCACTGATTTCGGCAATATTTGAAATGTTGTGCAGATAGTATAGTTAGTTTAAAATAGGCACAGAATACTGGGACGCAAAAATTTATTTTGTTAATAGCTCTCTAACTAACAAAGCTAAATATTAATATGTTTAAAGAATTAGTGCAAGGCTGTGGTAAATGTTCGGCCCGACATAGACTGCGTAACTGTTTTAATTGTTCAACTCCACTCTGCAATGACGAAACAAAACTTCCTCAAATTAAATGTTACCAACTTACTTTCAATCAACAGCCTTATGTGACGAAATCTAAGACATGTCATCCAACCTTTGAAAGTTGCTACATTGCTAGGGACATCTTTTGGAGGGGTAAGAAAAATTGGTATTCATATGTTATATCACTGTATTTTCCTATCTTATCTAATATTCTACATTTTTAACTTATAAATAAAATTTCAAAATGATCAAACTATTCTGTTTAGATTTCTTGTTTACTTTATCTTTTTTAGGCACCCTGTAGTTTCGTCAGAGAACATTTTTGCCAGAATTAGTTTCGACAGAGGTCAGAGAAAAGTTTCTTTATGTATCATTTTTCATAGGTCCGTCAGTAAGGCTCGCTTTCTAAAAATTTATTTAAACGGCTATATGACTTATACGAATTTCCATCTAATGATCCATTTGGACAAATGAGGTGTCATTGAAAACAGGGTGAGCGCATTGCGTTATTTTGCGTTAATTCTAAAGAGTTCGGAAAATTAAGGCAAACTAGTTGTGCAAGAAGTTGATCTGACATTCTAAGACTGAACTACAGGTTTCTGGAAATTAAAAAACAATTGAAGGTTCAGCTCGTCAATCTCGAACAAAATTGAATGAACTGAATTGAATAAGCTGTCATTTTTACAACCGAATTTTTCACTAAAAATCAGATTTTCTGAGCTTTCGAAGACACCTCTCTTGCCCAGATCGATCCAAAGACAAAAAACTAGTATAAGTCAAATATTGGCTTTTAATTAAAATGTTCAAAATGGAGCCTTACTGACGAAAAAGACATACGACTAAAATTTACGAAACCGCCATCTGACTAATAAAACTGACGAAACTAATTGAGACGAAAATGTGCTCTGGAGAGACTACCGGACATCTATTTTGTAAATTCATTTTAAGTTGAGCAAAATTGCGGGGAATGCCCTGCAAAATACACAAATTGTATAAGGTGTAGTCACAATGATATGTGCAATGAAGACACATTACTTACAATAACTTCAACAACGACTGAAACAAAAACAAATAGTTGGATATCTTCCATAACAACCAAAGAATCGCCTTCAGAAAAAACAAGTTCTCCTCGTATTAAAAATACAACAATACGTTTAACTCCAAAATCATCGGCACAAATACATAAGCACGAAAGTAACGTGATGGCTTTGGCACTAATAACAATCATTGTTTACTATATTTTATGATAAAAAGTTAAATTATAAATTGATATTTGAAAATGGATAAATATATTTATATAATCAAAATTTTTTTGACTCGATCTCTGATAAGACTTAACGCATTTCATTAGGTCGTATATTAGTTTATTCTTTTATTTTTAGAATATATTCGAAGTAAATATAAATGTACTTCGATTTCTGATAAGACTTAACGCATTTCATTAGGTCGTATATTAGTTTATTCTTTTATTTTTAGAATATATTCGAAGTAAATATAAATGTACTTCGATTTCTGATAAGACTTAACGCATTTCATTAGGTCGTATATTAGTTTATTCTTTTATTTTTAGAATATATTAGAAGTAAATATAAATGTACTTCGATTTCTGATAAGAAGTAACGCATTTCCCTAGGTCGTATATTAGTTTATTCTTTTATTTTTAGAATATATTCGAGGTAAATATAAATGTACTTCGATTTCTGATAAGACTTAACGCATTTCACTAGGTCGTATATTAGTTTATTCTATTATTTTTAGAATATATTCGAAGTAAATATAAATGTACTTCGATTTCTGATAAGAAGTAACGCATTTCACTAGGTCGTATATTAGTTTATTCTTTTATTTTTAGAATATATTCGAAGTAAATATAAATGTACTTCGATTTCTGATAGGAAGTAACGCATTTCACTAGGTCGTATATTAGTTTATTCTCTTATTTTTAGAATATATTCGAAGTAAATCTAAATGTACTTCGATTTCTGATAAGACTTAACGCATTTCAACAGGTCGTATATTAGTTTATTCTTTTATTTTTAGAATATATTCGAAGTAAATCTAAATGTACTTCGATTTCTGATAAGACTTAACGCATTTCAACAGGTCGTATATTAGTTTATTCTTTTATTTTTAGAATATATTCGAAGTAAATCTAAATGTACTTCGATTTCTGATAAGACTTAACGCATTTCAACAGGTCGTATATTAGTTTATTCTTTTATTTTTAGAATATATTCGAAGTAAATCTAAATGTACTTTGATTCTGATAAGACTTAACGCATTTCAACAGGTCGTATATTAGTTTGTTCTTTTATTTTTAGAATATATTCGAAGTAAATCTAAATGTACTTCGATTTCTGATAAGACTTAACGCATTTCAACAGGTCGTATATTAGTTTATTCTTTTATTTTTAGAATATATTCGAAGTAAATATAAATATATTTCGATTTCTGATAAGACTTAACGCATTTCAACAGGTCGTATATTAGTTTATTCTTTTATTTTTAGAATATATTCGAAGTAAATCTAAATGTACTTCGATTTCTGATAAGACTTAACGCATTTCAACAGGTCGTATATTAGTTTATTCTTTTATTTTTAGAATATATTCGAAGTAAATCTAAATGTACTTCGATTTCTGATAAGACTTAACGCATTTCAACAGGTCGTATATTAGTTTATTCTTTTATTTTTAGAATATATTCGAAGTAAATATAAATATATTTCGATTTCTGATAAGACTTAACGCATTTCAACAGGTCGTATATTAGTTTAATCTTTTATTTTTAGAATATATTCGAAGTAAATCTAAATGTACTTCGATTTCTGATAAGACTTAACGCATTTCAACAGGTCGTATATTAGTTTGTTCTTTTATTTTTAGAATATATTCGAAGTAAATCTAAATGTACTTCGATTTCTGATAAGACTTAACGCATTTCACTAGGTCGTATATTAGTTTATTCTATTATTTTTAGAATATATTCGAAGTAAATATAAATGTACTTCGATTTCTGATAAGACTTAACGCATTTCACTAGGTCGTATATTAGTTTATTCTATTATTTTTAGAATATATTCGAAGTAAATATAAATGTACTTCGATTTCTGATAAGACTTAACGCATTTCACTAGGTCGTATATTAGTTTATTCTTTTAATTTTAGAATATATTAGAAGTAAATATAAATGTACTTCGATTTCTGATAAGAAGTAACGCATTTCACTAGGTCGTATATTAGTTTATTCTTTTATTTTTAGAATATATTCGAGGTAAATATAAATGTACTTCGATTTCTGATAAGACTTAACGCATTTCAACAGGTCGTATATTAGTTTATTCTTTTATTTTTAGAATATATTCGAAGTAAATCTAAATGTACTTCGATTTCTGATAAGACTTAACGCATTTCAACAGGTCGTATATTAGTTTATTCTTTTATTTTTAGAATATATTCGAAGTAAATATAAATATATTTCGATTTCTGATAAGACTTAACGCATTTCAACAGGTCGTATATTAGTTTATTCTTTTATTTTTAGAATATATTCGAAGTAAATCTAAATGTACTTCGATTTCTGATAAGACTTAACGCATTTCAACAGGTCGTATATTAGTTTATTCTTTTATTTTTAGAATATATTCGAAGTAAATCTAAATGTACTTCGATTTCTGATAAGACTTAACGCATTTCAACAGGTCGTATATTAGTTTATTCTTTTATTTTTAGAATATATTCGAAGTAAATATAAATATATTTCGATTTCTGATAAGACTTAACGCATTTCAACAGGTCGTATATTAGTTTATTCTTTTATTTTTAGAATATATTCGAAGTAAATCTAAATGTACTTCGATTTCTGATAAGACTTAACGCATTTCAACAGGTCGTATATTAGTTTGTTCTTTTATTTTTAGAATATATTCGAAGTAAATCTAAATGTACTTCGATTTCTGATAAGACTTAACGCATTTCACTAGGTCGTATATTAGTTTATTCTATTATTTTTAGAATATATTCGAAGTAAATATAAATGTACTTCGATTTCTGATAAGACTTAACATTTCACTAGGTCGTATATTAGTTTATTCTTTTAATTTTAGAATATATTAGAAGTAAATATAAATGTACTTCGATTTCTGATAAGAAGTAACGCATTTCACTAGGTCGTATATTAGTTTATTCTTTTATTTTTAGAATATATTCGAGGTAAATATAAATGTACTTCGATTTCTGATAAGACTTAACGCATTTCACTAGGTCGTATATTAGTTTATTCTGTTATTTTTAGAATATATTCGAAGTAAATATAAATGTACTTCGATTTCTGATAAGAAGTAACGCATTTCACTAGGTCGTATATTAGTTTATTCTTTTATTTTTAGAATATATTCGAGGTAAATATAAATGTACTTCGATTTCTGATAAGACTTAACGCATTTCACTAGGTCGTATATTAGTTTATTCTATTATTTTTAGAATATATTCGAAGTAAATATAAATGTACTTCGATTTCTGATAAGACTTAACGCATTTCACTAGGTCGTATATTAGTTTATTCTATTATTTTTAGAATATATTCGAAGTAAATATAAATGTACTTCGATTTCTGATAAGAAGTAACGCATTTCACTAGGTCGTATATTAGTTTATTCTTTTATTTTTAGAATATATTCGAAGTAAATATAAATGTACTTCGATTTCTGATAAGAAGTAACACATTTCACTAGGTCGTATATTAGTTTATTCTCTTATTTTTAGAATATATTCGAAGTAACTATAAATATATTTCGATATCTGATAAGACTTAACGCATTTCAACAGGTCGTATATTAGTTTATTCTATTATTTTTAGAATATATTCGAAGTAAATATAAATGTACTTCGATTTCTGATAAGACTTAACGCATTTCACTAGGTCGTATATTAGTTTATTCTTTTATTTTTAGAATATATTCGAAGTAAATCTAAATGTACTTCGATTTCTGATAAGACTTAACGCATTTCAACACGTCGTATATTAGTTTATTCTTTTATTTTTAGAATATATTCGAAGTAAATATAAATATATTTCGATTTCTGATAAGACTTAACGCATTTCAACAGGTCGTATATTAGTTTATTCTTTTATTTTTAGAATATATTCGAAGTAAATCTAAATGTACTTCGATTTCTGATAAGACTTAACGCATTTCAACAGGTCGTATATTAGTTTATTCTTTTATTTTTAGAATATATTCGAAGTAAATATAAATATATTTCGATTTCTGATAAGACTTAACGCATTTCAACAGGTCGTATATTAGTTTATTCTATTATTTTTAGAATATATTCGAAGTAAATATAAATGTACTTCGATTTCTGATAAGACTTAACGCATTTCACTAGGTCGTATATTAGTTTATTCTTTTATTTTTAGAATATATTAGAAGTAAATATAAATGTACTTCGATTTCTGATAAGAAGTAACGCATTTCACTAGGTCGTATATTAGTTTATTCTTTTATTTTTAGAATATATTCGAGGTAAATATAAATGTACTTCGATTTCTGATAAGACTTAACGCATTTCACTAGGTCGTATATTAGTTTATTCTATTATTTTTAGAATATATTCGAAGTAAATATAAATGTACTTCGATTTCTGATAAGAAGTAACGCATTTCACTAGGTCGTATATTAGTTTATTCTTTTATTTTTAGAATATATTCGAGGTAAATATAAATGTACTTCGATTTCTGATAAGACTTAACGCATTTCACTAGGTCGTATATTAGTTTATTCTATTATTTTTAGAATATATTCGAAGTAAATATAAATGTACTTCGATTTCTGATAAGACTTAACGCATTTCACTAGGTCGTATATTAGTTTATTCTATTATTTTTAGAATATATTCGAAGTAAATATAAATGTACTTCGATTTCTGATAAGAAGTAACGCATTTCACTAGGTCGTATATTAGTTTATTCTTTTATTTTTAGAATATATTCGAAGTAAATATAAATGTACTTCGATTTCTGATAAGAAGTAACGCATTTCACTAGGTCGTATATTAGTTTATTCTCTTATTTTTAGAATATATTCGAAGTAAATATAAATATATTTCGATTTCTGATAAGACTTAACGCATTTCAACAGGTCGTATATTAGTTTATTCTTTTATTTTTAGAATATATTCGAAGTAAATCTAAATGTACTTCGATTTCTGATAAGACTTAACGCATTTCAACAGGTCGTATATTA